CGACGCGACGACTGCAAATCCCTGGGGCTGGGCTGATGTGAGTGCGAGAACGACACTCACACATCCACCTCGCAGGTGCTGTCAAGCGTTCAACAAGTGCAGGGCTGTGAGCCCCCTCCTGCCGCTCCTCACCTCGCAGCAGCCTGAGCTGCGTTTCCCCTGATTAATCCTCCACATTTCCCAGCCTTGTGCCTTTTGCAGCGGACGGAGGGGGCTGTGGGATGAGCGGGGATGAGCTGGGAGCGTTCACGGAGGGATAAGCACTTGGCTATGGATCCCTCGCTGAGAGGGTTTTCAACCCGCAGGTGTTTGATAGTCCAGGCTCGCAGGACCTGTATGTGCCACACGGGCACACCGGGGAAGGGGACACCCCCCTCCATACCCCCTGCTCATCCCAAAAGGCATCACCAGCGCTGAGCGTGAAGCACAGCAGGGTTTTGTTTTATTCTGTCCTGTCCCCAAGCGCTGCCCCTGCCCCTCCATAGAGCCCTGTGCGCTCACCTGGGCCGGGGTGGTGACAGTCCCCATCCCGGCGGAAGGCCGGCAGTGCTGCCGCTGTCCCTGCCACAATAGGGACAGATGCGGGAGGAAGTGATTTGTCTGTGCCGGGACAGACACAGATGTCCTGCTTCCTGGGCTGATACCGTAACCGCTGATCGCATCTCTCGCCGCCAACTCCTTCCACAGCTTTTGCTTTTTCTTTCCTTTCTCCCCCTGCTCCTCTCCAAGGTGCAGTTCATGATTCATTTGAAAGGTCCTGCCAGCAGATTTCAGCTGGTGTGGGATCTCCATTCCGTGGCTGTGCACGGAGCAGAGCACAGCTTATTTCGTGCTGCTATAGCTCAAAAAAAAAGAAAGAAAGAAAAAAAAAGGAGCAAGATGCAAAGTACAGCTGCGAGGAGGTGACAGGGACACAATGCTTGGCAGCCGAGCTGCTCTCACCCCGTTTGAATGGAGGTGTCTGTGTATTTCCCTTCACACTTAAAATAGAAGTATATAAATTGTCACTGATCGTATCAGAGCACCTGCGTGGTCTGAATCCTGCCAAGTCCATCTGCTCACCTCCCGGTGTCCAGAGGCAGGGAGAGCAGTGGGGAGCACCAGTCCCAGGGCTCCCTCCACAGCTCTGGGCACTGGGAGTGCAGGAGGGACCTGTACCCGCTGCAGCATCCCTGGCACAGCCCTCACAGCCGTGTCTCCCCACCCATCCCGTGGGACGTGGCCTCAGCACAAGCCGTGTGTGAGTTGCGAGTTTAAGCTCCAAAATTGCTCACTGGAGGCTGATCCTGCTCTGGGGTTTGGCAGCAGGAGAACCAGCCCAAAGTCCTTCAGCAGCTCAGCAGCTCCTGCTCCGGCTGGGGCACAGGGACAAGGATGGACAGGACAGTGGCTGTGTGGCACCACAATCTGTTCACCCTTCTGTGGACAGGCAGGACGGTCCCCCTTTCCTGCTCTCTGAGATAAATAATGTGAGAATAACAGTCTCATTCCAGGCTGTTGCTGCTTTCTGCCCCCAGTCCACCACCCCAAATGCTGAATTCCTCCTTGGCTGGTGCTTGAGGGAGCTCAAGGGCAGCAGGGCCTCTACTCAGGTGACCTCCCCGGGGTGACTGCAGGGCTGGTGTGGAGATGCCAGGGACGTGCAGGACATGACTCAGTTCCTGCCTTTGGGGAGCCAAACTCCTGCCCAGCAGAGAGGCTGGGCTGGCTCTGCAGGCTGGCACTGCATCCTGCCCCGTGCCAGCTGGGCTTAGCAAAGCCCTCCTGGGTGACTGGGCTGGTCTCCAGCCCCAGTAAAGAGCAGCAGAAATGCAATGAGACCTCTTGGAAAAAAAAAAAAAAACAACCCAAACCCTCACCATCCTACTGAGCAGGGAATGCAGTGAGCATTGCCAGCAGACAGCTTGGTCCTTTTGGTGGTTGCTGTGATGCTCTCCCATCTCCAGCCCAGGGGTCACCTCCTCCAGCCTCACTGGCAGGGCAGTGGAGCCCTGGCTGAAGCCTTTGCTGTGAGGACACAGTGGGGACAGACCCAGCTGCCCACGGTGACACCAGTGGATATTGTAAAAGCAGCTGAACTCCCTTTAAAGTACTTGACCTGCTGCAGCCCAGGCTCCTGTGCCTGTGACACTGGTGGCCAATGCACAGCTCTTCCTGTCACAAGAACTTAATTAGCACCTTCGTGGTGATTAAGCCAGTAAAGAGGCTTTGCCTGGAGGTGTAAAAGGAACTAATGCATCGCCAGGTTATTTAATCTCAATAAATCATTTTAAAATATTCAGCTGTTATTTACATTAAAGCAGCATTTGATGCCTCTGGGCAGAAACACAGAGGTGATTCAATATTTGTTATACATTAGTTGAGCAGACTTAGGTGAGCAAATTTACTTTAGTAGTTTTTTACATAATAATATTAAGGCTGAAAGAGAATGAAGGAGGGGTTTGCTGGAGCATTCAGAGGTGTGAAAATCCTTTCCTTACTGCCTGACCATGTTTATAGTGCTTGAGGAAGAGCTGGGTCCCAGCTCAGCTGTCTCACAGCTCCTGCCCATTGCTGATGAAGGTTCCTGTGTTGTGTGGCTTATGAGACTCTTCATCCCTGGATCTGGTGACAGTCAAGCTCTTTATTATGAACAGATACTTAACTTCTGTTCACTTAGGGCAATACAGGCAGTGTCCCACCAAATAGGTGTACTAAGGTAATAACAAGGTGACCAATGAACAATTCTAGAACATCAGGCTATGCCCACCTTGGCCTCTTCTGGCTGGCAGCTCAGCCACCAGGGGTTGGCACAGACCCTTCTGGGAGGCCACAGCAGTACCTGCCACCAGCTGAATGGAAAGACGCTGGGAGGGATTTGCAATGCAAATTCTGTGGAAATAAAGAGCTAATGGGAGGAGAGCAGTTGTTCACTGCAAGGATCTCCACCGAGGTGAACACCATCTCTGCCCGGTGCTGATGGGCCTCCAGCCCTCCCCACTGCTCAGCTCTGGCTCCTGCAGACTGGGAGCTCAGCATAATTTTACATCCTGTCACAGAGGGCCCCCTGCTTGAACGTGATCCTGGCTCTGCTGTGTGTGCCAAAGAGTGAGCGGCACTAAAATAAACAGGCCACCCTTAGAGCCACTGAAAAATTAAGTGCCCACTTGACTGGCTTTGTAAACCTTCAAACCAACTCATCCTTGCAGGAGAGTTCAGGAGCAGAGCAGATGGAAGAAGCTTTATTTGGGGTCATGTGCTGGCAGGAAGAGGCAGCACTGAACGTCCCCAGGCTGGAGTGATGCGGTGGGCACCGACCTCAGCATGGCACACTGAGGCTTCTCTTCTGTTCCCCAAACACAAAACCCTGGAGTTTCTGTTTCTGAACAATGGTACTTTCACATTTTCCAGTCTCACTTCAATAGTTTTTGGGATGGAGCAGAGGAACAATGGAAGAGATCAGCTAAGCATGGCTTAGACAAGCCAAGGAACTGCAGTTTTCCCTTCCCATGTGCAGAGCTGCAGGTCAGCAGCAGCTCCTGGTGCCTCTACTGAGCACTGACTGAGCCTGGCCAACTTTGCAGCTCGAGACTCAGACTTTGCCAAGAGATTGGATTTCTGGGAAGCTGCTCCGAATCAAGTCTTAATGTTTTCAGGCCCCGCAACCCCGAACCAGCTCCAGCTTCTGAAAACTTAACAGGAGGTTTCAAAAGCAACAGGCTTGGCCCCACTGATGCCCTATCTGATAGATTCTCATCTTCTGGAGTAGTGAAACTTCGAAATAATGAGAGAAAAGCGCAGGAGAAGCCCCTCAGTGGCTGGACCTGCCCTTTAAACACCCACCCATGGAGCGTGTCCACAATCCAGCAGCGCCCAAACGCGGCTGCTGCTCCTGCATCCCCCCAGCCAGCCCTGCTGTGCCTGAAGGAGGAGTCCAGGGCTCCCCCAGCCCCTCTGTGCCTTCTGGTCTGTGCTGGCAGAGCCCCCCCTTACCCTGCTGTCCCTGTGTGCTCGGGAGGAGTGGGATGCTCGGCTCACACGGAGCAGTTGTGATTCACAGGCACAGCTGTGGTTCTGTGGGAATAAAACCCTCCCCTGCCTCACGGGCCGGAAGAAAATCAGAACAAACGTTCTTAGGGAAGGAGGAGCAGGGTAGCCAAGCCAGAGTAAACAAGCACTGAGAGAAGGGTGTGGGAAGGAGGGGATGTGTGTGAGCCAGCAGACGCTGACTGGCCGTGCAGGGACAGGAATGGGTTTCTCCTGTTGTCTTTCTGGCAGTCGCTGCTCCTTCCCCTCTCCAAAGAGTGATCCGACTGATGCTTTGATGTTGGCATCTGCTCTGGTTGCACCCAAACCAGCTTGGCTTTTGCTGCTTTAGGTTCCAGCTCTGTGTCTCTGAGCATCTTGTGGGCTGGAGGGGCCATGAGGACATGTGTGGGGTTAGGGAAGGTGCAGTGCATGACTGCACCCCTCAGCACTGCATCAACTTGTCCCTGGGCCACAGCAGAGCTTCTCCACAGCACTTGTGGTACTGCAGTGTAGATTTGAGCACCAGCATTGCCTCAGCTGGACGAGGACAGCCCAGATGTTGGCGCAGCCCAGCAGCGTGTCCTGGCGTGTGAGCAGTGGCTGCCTAGGGCAGGAGAGGACATCATTTACCACGGGAAGCTCCCCCTGTTTGTACCCTCCTGGCAGTCGGTGGTTTAGGCTCATGCAATGATAAAGCCTTTTTTTAAGACTCCAAGTCCTTTCCCTCCTATTGAGGGCTGTTTGTGGGCTGGGGCAGAGCCTGGAGCCTCTCAGGATTAGTAAATGAGTCAATCCCCCAAATCACTCTGTGGAGGTGGAGAGCACAGGTGAGGTATTTTACCCCTCGGGTGATCACAGAGGTGAGGCTCCTGAGTGGGTGTGGGTGGGGCTTTTGTCTCATTAGCCACAGTGCTGATGACTTTAACAGCAGGGAAGTCACCAGTGCTCGTTTATTGAATGTCTCTGTCCTGGTTTTGCTCTGGGTGCCGCAGGTATAACAGCCTGGTGACCGGCAAGAGGGCGAGAGGACTCATCGCCGTGCTGTGGCTCCTGTCCTTTGGAATTGGACTGACTCCACTTATGGGCTGGAATAAAGCCATGAGCGGTTGTCCCAACGCCACCAACGAGACGGGGGCTGAGGCGGGGTCGGAGCACCACGGCTGCTTCATCTCCTGCCTCTTCGAGAACGTGGTCACGATGAGCTACATGGTGTACTTCAACTTCTTCGGCTGCGTGCTGCTGCCACTCGTCATCATGCTGGGCATCTACATCAAGATATTCATGGTGGCCTGCAAGCAGCTGCACCAGATCGAGCTGATGGGCAACTCCAGGACCACGCTGCAGAAGGAGGTGCACGCGGCCAAGTCTCTGGCCATCATTGTGGGGCTTTTTGCCTTCTGCTGGCTGCCCCTGCACGTCTTGAACTGCATCACGCACTTCCACGAGGACTTCTCCAAATCCAAGCCTGAGTGGGTGATGTACGTGGCCATCACCCTCTCCCACGCCAACTCCGTCATCAATCCCATCATCTACGCCTACCGGATCAGGGACTTCCGCTACACCTTCCGCAAGATCATTTCCAAGATCCTCTGCAAGGCGGACGACCTCCCCAAGGGCACCACTGACAACAACCAGCACCTGACTGTCACCAACATCAACTGCCCCGTGGCCTCGGTGACCATCTGACCCTGCACGAGGGGGTGCTCAGACACGCCCACTGTGCAGCTGTGCAGCTGCCTTCTTGATTTGATTTTTGTAATTAACACAGTGCCTGCTGGAGGAGTAACCTGACGGGGGGGACACTGAGTGCAGCTCACCCCCCACCACCCCCCAGGGTGCGAGCGCCGGTGATGGCGTCGCGTTTCCCTTCCAGGTCGGACGTTGACTGGGGAAGAATCACCTGCTGGGGGTGTTTCCCCTAATTGTGCTGCTCATGTCAAGTCATAGGATCTTTATTTTAATTATTATTATTATTATTATTGTTATTGTTATTATTATTTTTTTAATATTTTTGATTCATTTAGGAGTAATAATTTTTGTGGTCTGTTTTTGAGTTGTTCTCTAAGTCCATACTTGACAGCTCTTTGGTAATACCCTAATTATTCCATCAATTGTTTGATGCAGCTCGTATTCTCCGATGGGAAAAAGTCTTACTTAGCCCAGTTGCTGGTGTGAAATGGAATCTGTTCCAGGCTCTGAGGGGAGGGACTGTGTGGATGGGAAAACCAGATCAGAACTGGCCAGCTATTTCTGGCCCCAGCATGAAAACTCTGCTTGGAGTTGTTGAGAAAAAGAGTTGACCGAGGTTTTACAACAGCAGTCCCAAGGCCTTTAAATCACTTTGGTCCACAGGATTGTGCAGCCCAAAGCTTCAGGTTTGCTTTCAGGTCTGTTTTCGGGTGTCAAAAGGGAGAGGTGCCCCAATGATCCTGGCTGGTCTGATCCAGAGTCACTGAGGTCAGTGCCACTCTGACTGAGCTCCACAATCAGATTTTTGCTCCCAAATCAAGACTTGCCATCCTTGCAGTGCTTCCAGGAGTGCAGGTTTTAGCTGTGAGAGCTGATGTGCAGCTCACCTGGTCCCTAAAGCTTGACCTGGCTGGGGTTCTTCTGCAGCCCTGTAACCCCCAGAGGCTGTGAATGCTTTTGTGTTTGTTTGTTTTAACAGTAATTTTTATATTTTTATTTTTTTCCAATGCTGACCTGCATCAGTAACAAAAAGAGACAGGAAGGGAGCTGAAGTGCTAATGTGTGTGAGAAGCAAGATTGCCATGGCTTGTGACCTGATTTTGGCAAAGCTCTCACAGGTCGTCCAGCCTGGCCTCTGTAGCTGGCCACGTGTCCTGACCCTCACTCTGAGTCCCAAACCCACTCAACAGCAGAGCAGTCTTAATTACAGTGCAGGTTAATAACTCTCTGCAACCACAGCTCAGTAATTACCGCACCAATTTAACGTGCAACGGTGATACCCAAAGCGAGACCAAGGCAGGGAGAGCAGAGCAGTAATTTCTGAAGAACGAGCTGATGGTGGTACAGAGAGGCAGCTGCTCCTGACTAGCTCAGACCTGCCATCACGTCGTGGCCCTCTCACAAAAGGGAGTCTTGCCTGAAGGTTCCATCTCCCTCCAGAGCACTCGGTGCCAGCAGCACCACCACGCAACTGGTGAGGAGCTGGAGTGCAGGGACTGCTGGTAAGTGGTTGTCAGCAGTAACTCAGGCAGGGGGAGAGAGGGAGCAGGACTTCTGGAGCCAGGTTGCAGGGAAGGAAGTTTGAACACAGCCAGTTCCTGAAGAACAGGTCCAGTGGACAGACTGTGATGCGTGATGAGCAGCTTGTCCCTGGAAAATTGTACTTGAATCATGTATTTTTTTTAAACTGTGTTGCACTAAAAGGGGGTTCATACAAGACCCCAAGAATTTAATTTCTCTGGCATATATAATGACAATACGGTGTAAAATCAGTTGAAAAGCTGATCTGAAGAACTCTTGTTCCTGCAGCATCTGCTCTGCCAGCTGGCAAGACCTGCAGGCAGCAGCTGCAGGAATGACTTAGGGCCCACCATGCACAGGGAATGGTTCCCTGGGAGTGATGGATTTCACTACCTTGTGTAGCAGCTCTGCCCTGAGAGCCAACCCCAAACCTGGGTGAATCACCAGTAAGCTCTGAATGGGTTTGTGCATGTTTATGCAGTGTCCAAATTTAGCTACAGCTCAGTATCTCATGTGCATTTCCAAGAAGAATCTGAACAGTTAAAGTTACTGTCCCAAGTGCTTTTCCTTTAACAACCCCATTCAGCTTTGCTGCATCTGCCTTGGTCACAGTCCAGCTGACACATGTAGCCACCTCCTGCCATTTGGGCAGGGGCTGACTCTCTCCTCCGCTCATTCCTTCCCTTCTGTATTATCTTTGGCTGTGTTCCTTCTGTTAATCACGGCTGGAAACAGGCAGGGTTTCACCTGCAGGTCTGGCAGTGTTGCAAAGTGGTTGCAACCACATTTATTCTCACAACAAAGGACGTAATCTCTCCCTTCTGCTGGCTGAAAACGAACCGCACTCTGGACAGCACCAACAGACTGAAACTCAGAGTGCTGTAAAACCAAAAGAGGAGGCCCCAGGACACTTGCTGTATGTGACAGCTGGCACTGCAGCTCAGCATCCACGACTGCCACCTTCCTCTGCCTCTTATGAGCCCGAATTCCTGCAGGTGGAGGAGGTGTATCCGTAGTACGACTGTGCCGTCGGGGTGTCAGGCAGTAACTGTGGCCCAGGTCACCACGGTCATGAGGCACAGCAAAGTGCCTTTGTGGATCTGAGCCAAAGACATTTCAAGGCAAAATAAAAATAGGACACTTCCCTTGCCCCCCTCAAAATAAAAAAGCTCTGAAGGTTTCTACAAAAATGTGAAGTAAAAGCGGCCGAGGAACTTTCTGTAGCGGGTGCAGCTGAAGCCATTCAGCTGTCACTCCTCACTGCTCTGATGTACATAGATGGATGTGTTTTTCCTCATGTTGCTCAGATTTTGTATTTGCAGTAACTGTTATTTACATACAGAATGCTTAATTTACCACCCACACATCCTGGCTCAGCCTGTGCCCCGTTATTTCTCGTGGTGAGGGGTTCACACGGTGTCTCATAGGAGGCCACACCGCCCTCGAGGAGGACGGGGCGTGGGCAGGGAGCCAGAGCTGGAAGGAGCTGGTTCCCAGCTCAGTGGCTGGTGTGTAGATGGGGAAGCAGTAGTGTCCTTCCCCCCGTGCCTGGCATGGAGAGCCTTGCCTTGCCCACCTTGCAACTCGTCTGAAAAGGGTCATTTTAAAGCACAGCAACCGGGGTGGTGCTTCCAAAGATCCTGTGTTACAGCAGAAGCACAGACCTGTCATCAGTCTCAAGATGCTGGGGACCCCCTGCCCTAGTCCCTGGTACAGGTTTGACAGTGATGGATCAGAAATTGCTCTGAGCAGCCACCTGCAAAGAGCCAAAGGAGCTCCTTAATTAGTGGATCACCAAGAGACCTGCTGGAGCGTTTGCATCCCCCCATCACAAGCACACGATATTACAGATTAGTTAAAACATCTTCAGAAATCCCAAGAACAGCCTAATTAATGAAACAGAAGTCAACACAGGCTTCTTACCATTTATTAATTAATTTATCAGTGCAAAGCTGCTAATTAATGTCACGCTTGGCTGCAGCACAGTAAGAAACCTGCCAGCCACCATGAGAATTTGACAGCCTTGCAGATATGAAAAATACACTGCCAGGAGGGTACACAGAAAGTACATCCCCAGGTGATCCAAATCCTTCATCCCTCCTCCTCTTCCTCAGCCAGCAAGACGCTTGTGAGCTGCTCCTCAGAGACAGTGAGCTCCTGGCAGGCTCCCATGGCCTGGCTGAGGTACACGGCGAGGATGTGTTTGCACTGCAAAGGTAACAGGAATGTCGTGCTCTGTCTGGCCCATCCTGTCCAGAATGGGTCTAATAAACCACACGGTTCCCTCCTGGCGTGCCAAGCCCTGGCACAGGTGGTGCTCTGTTTGCCCCAGTTCTGCCACCAGGATATAAAGTAACCCAGGGATGTGAGACACAGAAACGTGTTCTGGCTCCTGACACCCTCCCCTCAGCTGCGGCCAGCTGAGCCCTTCCTCACTGGCACCAGGTGAGCTGCAGCCCTCCCTCAGCCAGATTCCATGTGGGATCAGAGCACAGCCCTCCCCCCTGCCCCCTGTCTGAGGGACAGAACTCACCAGGAGGCTCTCGCTCTTCTGCAGCACCGAGAACCCAAAGGCAGGACATGTGCAGAAGTGGCAGGAGCTGTAGCAGGTGTAGAGTTTGCCTGAGCTCCCAAGGACCTGAAACGAAAGCAGCCAAAGGGTCAGAGCAGCATTCCCTTTAAATTCTCTTGCTCAACCTGGGCCTGGGCTGAGCCCTCCCAGCAATGATTCCCAGCTCACAGCTGGCAGGTGGCACGGGACGATTGTCCCCAAACACTGCAGTGACCCAGCTAATCCTGAAGCTCCTCAGGTTCCCCAGGCTCTCTACAAGCTTCTCTCCCCACAGGTAAGGAAATGTTCCTGCACCTCTGCCTGCACAGAGCTCAGCTCCAGGGACTTTGCCGCCAAGGGAGCAGCAGAAGGGCAGTGGCAGCACTCCCTGATCTCCCAGCCAGCTGCCAGCCCCAGCACTGCCAGACTGGGGAAGATGACAAAGGCTCTCTTGTCACACAAAGCCTAGTTGTGGATCCAGAGCCACCATGGGCCTGGGGATGGAAGGAGAGCAGCAGGGAGCCCTTGCAGTGAGGCCTTTCCTTTCCTAACCACCTCCAGCGGCTGGAGGCTGCGAGGGCTCTTGCTGTTCTGCTCCCAAAACCAGCTGCAGCTACTGGAATCCAGATTTGTCTGAATAAACAAAGTTGAAGTCTCCAGAGAAGAAGCCTCCCTGCTCCATCTCTGGTTTGGGAACAGCACTGCCTCCTTTTCCCACGTGCTGTTCCCCTGCCAGGCTGGTTGTTCTCCTGCTGCACCAGGGACACAGGGAGCAGGCAAAGGGGTGAGGGAAGGTTTGTTCCAGCACAGATAAGCAGACAAGCAATTTGGGAGCTCCTTGCAGCATACAGGAAAGCCAGTCTATAGATTATTTCTCTTTGGGTTTCTTCAAGACTGGAAAACAGCTTTTAGAAAGCTACTTTAGG